CTTTTTGTCTGCAGGGTTTTATTGTGTAATTGTTTTTTTTTTTTTTTTTGATCATAGCTGTTATCGCGGTTGATTTTGTCAGTGCTGTCGCCCTGGATAGCCTGACATGTCTGCTACAGCTGGTGTCAACATGCATTGCCATCTCACTTCTTCTTTCCTTTTCATGCAGGGGCCTTGTATTCCCTTTTCTAGTGGCTATAATTATCCAAATCTCCTTCTCCACCAAAGGGGAGCATGAAATCATCAGAGACAAAAGAAACAAAAGCTCACGGGAACTGAACAGCTTTTCAAAACGTATGTTTCTTATTGACTAGCAAATTCTAAGTCAAAGAATGACTTCAGGCGACAAGTAAACTGTTCAGTCGCCTGCTAATTCTATCCAAGAAACTCTAGAAATGGGCTGAACTTTGAAAGTCCAAATATTGTACCTTTAGGCTCCCTTCATACCTTTTTGTGTTACTTTACAGTGCAGTAAAAGATGCATTTTACATTCATTTAAAATGGCACCCCAATGCATCCGACGCCACAGGGTACCAGAACGCATATAGTGTGCTTTGTGGTTCGATTACTACATTTTTATTTAGTCCATGGGAGTCTATGCTGCAGTCCCTGCCTAAGCACTGCCCCTCTAATGAGTTTCACCTATCAAGGCTTAGTTGTAGACTGAGCCTTGAGGTGAAATGTGTTGCAGGTGAGGTGCTTTTATTTAGTCCACACAAGTTCATCTTGCATCCCCCACCTAAGCAACACCCCTCTAATGTGTTTTACTTGTCAAGGTTTAGCTGTAGAGACCTTGACATGTTGCAGCCCGTGCCTTAGCATCACTCTTCTAAGGTGTTTTATCTGTCAGGGCTTAGTCGTAGAGGTCTATGATTAAGCCTTGACAGGTGAAATGCTTTTGAATGGAGGTGCTTTATTTAGTCCATACAAGCCCATGTTTCAGTCCTCATTAGGCACCACCCCACTAATGCATTTAACCTTTCAAGGCTTAGTGGTAGAGATCTGTATGACTGAGCCTTGACAGATGAAACGTTTTGGAGGAGTGGTGCTTTATTTAGTACTTACAAGTCCATATTGCAGTCCCCACATAAGTATGCCATTCTAATGCATTCCCCCTTTCAAGGCTTAGTCGTAGAGATCTCTACAAATAAGCTTTGACAAGTGAAATGTGTTAGAACGAAGGTACTTTATTTAGTCCATATGAGTCCATCTTGCGACCCCTACCAAAGCATCACCCTTGTAATGTGTTTCACCTGTCAAGGCTTAGTCATAGAGGTCTACGACTAAGGCTTGACAGGTGAACTGTGTTGGAGGGGCAGTACTTTATTTAGTCCATCCAAGCCCATGTTGAAGTCCCTGCCTAAGCACCACCCCTCTACAGCATTTCAATTTTCAAGGCTTGGTCATAGAGATTGGTCAAGGCTTGGTCATAGAGTCACATGACCAAGGCTTGGTCATGTGACTAAGCTTTGACAGGTGAAAGACGTTGGTGGGGTGGTGCTTTATTTAGTCTGTATGAGTCCATGTTGCAGTATTTGCCTAAACACGCCCTTCTAATCTGTTTCACCTGTCAAGGCATAGTCATAGAGATATCTACTACTAAACATTGAAAGGTGAAATGCATTAGCGGGGCGGTGCTTAGGTGGGGACTGCAACATGGACTTGTGTGAGATGCGATGATTTGTTGCTCTTTTGGAGTGCTAACGGAGCAGAGATGGGCTTATATGGTCTGCACCTGGAGTTCCCAGAGCTGTTTGGAATTGGGAATGGAGTTTTGCAGCGGTGTGACAATCCTTATCTTGCTAACTATTTATTTTTGTCTGCTGAGTTACAGTGGCAAGCGACACATGCTGATGTGGGAAATACGGTGTGTTATTGTGCGTTCGGTCACCGATCACAACAGTCCACATAGATCTGAAGGGTGTAAAAGGCACGCCTGTCATCTGTCCTGCCATCCCCCCAACGAGACACAGACAGGTAATAATACACATATAAAGGTTGTAACCCTTCCTTACTCTCCTCCATCCCCCAAAAAATGGCTATATACTTTAATCTTTCCTAATGGCTGAGGTTCTTCAAGGTTTCCAACCTCATCCTATTCAATCCAACACAACAAAAAAAACGTTTTAGTTGGATTTGCACTTTGATCTGTCAAAGTTCAGAGGAATCTGAGATACTTTTTTTTTGTATATTACCAACTTTCCCAGATCCAGAACAAACACCCACGTAATTATCTTTCTAGGTTTTAAACTCCCCTTTCCTTGCACCTGCATACAGATTATCGTGAGAGCCATGTTGTTTTTTGAAATACGTTTTTTCATTTTCTTTTGTTCCCGTTAGGTACAACAAAGCACAAATATTTATGTTTTCTGTTGTCAAAAAATAAATGTTTACAACATTTGGCGGATCATGCTGCAAAGCCTGGTTGGTAGTTAGTCTAACCCTCACTTTGTATTTTCCCTTATTGTTATATCTCAGAATAATTGCCTACAATGAACAGGCACGATTCCTAAGAAAGAAAGCGACACGCAGGAGTCTTGCTTCATAACAAGCCGCTACAATGGCTGAACCGCGGGTTATACTGTTGCTGTGAGGCATGCATATGTACTAATGTTTTCTATTCACCTTCCCTCGGTCCCTCACAGCAGGCTGCGGGGCCTCCACCTACTCCTGCTTCTTACTCTTGCCGCAGGTAGAGTCCTCATATAGCAGGCTGGATTAGGATTGCCGTCGCGGTAGGAGGATTGTCAGATCTTTAAAGGGAACTTTTTACAAACTTTATAAATCTGCATAAATAAATTTCTGACATGTCACAATATAGAACGTTACTCAATTACTGTATTTACAAAATTGCTGTACCTTAGTCAATGAAAAAACAGTCCTTGAGCTTAAGACTTAGTGGACAATCACCAGGCTCTGTCACATGGGGGTGGGGAGAGCGTCCTTAACCCTGTGTAAACTTTGACCAAGGATACTTGGAGTGTACATAGGGCTTCCTCTCCTCACTCTGCTGTCAAAAAAGCGATGCTAATTTGTAATTATGGTGCAAGGTTTTCTCTCCCACAATATAGATGTCTTACTAGCCAGTTGGGTCACTTGGGGGCTCTTAGCAACCTAGAATTCTCTGACTAGTGTCACCACCAGCTCACTGACATCACTGGTTGCCAGAAGCTGAGTGGAACACTCTTGCTGGTGTGTGTCCCAGCTCCTGGCAACTAGTGATGTCAGTGAGCTGGGAGGGATGCCAGACAGAACCAGAGCCAGAGGTACCACCATATCTACTGATGTACAGTAGATCATCAGCATCATTCAACCTTCTTCCTGTCAGCCCTGGGCCTGCATAGAGCCCTGACCTTAACCCTACTTAACAACCTTGGAAGGCAATGAAATGCCAATTACAAGACAGGTCTTTCTAACCAATGTTAGTGCCTGACCTCACCAATGCTCTCTGGGCTGAACAGGCACAGGTTTCCACTGACACACTGCAAGATCTTATGGAAAGTCTTCCCAGAAAAGTGGAGGCCATTATAGCTGTTAACATGGGGGGAAGGGTGAACTCCATATTCATGACCATAATTTCGAACCCACAAACATATACTGTATAGGTGTGATGGTCAGGTGTCTACAGATGTTTGCCCATATAGTTTATGTACCCCAGTGTGGACATGAAAGCTAAAAAAAAGTAAAGTAAAAACATTTTTCCTCTACCTTCACAGAATTTAATGCCGTCTCCTGTGTATCCTGTACTGCAGTAACATCCTTGAATCCCTTTCTCCACTTTACACTCCGCATTTGCATGGCACGAGAATGAACACTGCTGGCTGTGATGCAGCAACAGGAATAAACACCCTACAAAACAAACAAAATAACAATCAATTCAATTGACACATAGCCAGGAGTTTTTAAAAAAACTGTTAAACTATTATTAATATTTACAATGTACAGTATATAGTGCCAACAGTTTGCCCAGTGCTTTACAAAATGAAGGGAGACAGTACAGTTACTATGCAATTTCACAGAGGGTAAGGGGGACCCTGCTCATGAGAGCTTACAATCTAGCAGGGGGAGCAAGTGATACAAAAGGTAATAATTGTGATGGATGAGTTCATGAAAGAAGTAAAAGGACAATTATTATGGTGAGGTGGGACAGGCTTTCCTGAAGAGATGGGTTTTCTAGGATCATCTAAAGATGGACTGAGTAGGAAATAAGCATATATATTGGGGTAGAGCGTTCCAAAGGATGGGGGATACCCTGGAGAAGTCCTGGAGATGAGCATGGGGGGAGGTGATGAGGGAGCTAGAGATGAAGAGGCCTTAAAAGGAGTGGAGAGGACAGTTAGGGTTATATTTTGAGATGAGGTTGGTGACATAGCTAATGGCTTTGTATGTTATTGTTAGTATTTTCTAATTTTATTTGTTGGGCAAGTGGGAGCCAATGGAGGGATTGGCAAAACTATTTTTTAATAATAAATCCGGATCAAACAAATATACATTGCCCAGCAAAGGATTTCTTTACTTTTTTTTGACCAAACACTTACAACCATCGTGTTTCTGAAAAGGAGGTCCTGATTCCTCTATATATAGATCTTGAGTTATCACTAGAGGAATCACCAGCAGGAGGAAGGAGGTCTTAATTCCCCTATATATATATCTTTAGTTGGACCTCATTTAGAATTCTGTGTCCAGTTCTGGAGACTTCACTTACGAAAAAATATTGATAAGATAGAACAAGTCCAGAGACGGGCAACAATAATGGTGAAACGTCTGAGGGATAAATCAGGGAAGACTGCAGGAACTTAAGGCTTCATTCTCATTATCAAACATGCATTTATAGGAACTTTCTAAACACATATAAATGAGTAAAATGTTTTTGAAATTGTATACTTCACATTGTGCATTTACATGTTTTTAGGTGCATTTAGCTTAGCTGTGTTTGGAGAAAATAGAATTCTGTGTTTCCAGTGGCAAATTAGATACTCCGAACATGCCTAAATGCATGTAAACACTTGTAAACATGTGTAAACGCAATAGATCTTGATCTGGCAAGATTTACTTTTGTTTATACCTCCCAGATAATTTAAATAACTCAATACTGTACATAAAAGGCTACATTCACATGGGCCTCCTGCATTAGGTTCTTTTAAATGCAGAAGGCTAGTGTAGCCTTTTATGTACATCATTGAGGAAACAAAGGAAAGGGGAGACATGATTAAGACCTTGAAATACATTAAGGGTATGAGTAAGGTTCAGGAGGGACGTATTTTCAGTATGAAGCTGAGATTAGCAATACAGGAGCAAGACCTGAAACATACAGGAGGAAAGTTCAAAACTAATCTTGGAAAGTATTTTGCTGAAAAAGTGGTGGGTGTATGGAAAAGACTTCCAGCAGAGGCTGTGAGTCGATCAACAGTAAGTGCATGCTTGGGATAAACATAAGTCTATACTCAGGAAAAAAATTAAAATAAAACCAAAGCAAATAAATACAAATAAAAAACAAATAGAAAAAGAAAAAAGTGCAGACTTGATGAACTTGTTCTTTGGTTGTCACTCCTCTATGTTTCTGAGTTTCACATTGGTCTGTAGTGACAATATCATGCATGATTGGTCAATATTAAAGCTCAGCATCAAAATATCCCTGGTAATTCTTTTATTTAGGTTGGCAGCTCTAAAGATGAACACTCTGAAGTACCTCCTAAACCTGGCAGAAGTCCCCCTAGGCACATCAGGCATTGCTGAAAACTGCAAAGTCTGCTGTCAAGTCTTCTAATCCCCCCCAATCCTTGTCTACGTCATGCATGGGACAACACAAATCATAAAAGATATCAGGTTTGGTGGTTTCTAGTATTCATCGCCGAATAAAAAATGTATCCATTTGTGGGATATCTTACCTAATAAATGGAATATTTTCATTTGAAGTGGCTGATCAGAACTCCGCAGCTGAAGCAGTAGATCCAAGAGGCTTGGGAATCGCTGCCCTGTGACGTAGCCTGCTTCCTTTTGAGATTTTCCTGTTTCTTTGTTTGCTCAGGGCTTCAGCTTCCTACACTTTCATCAGTTCCAACAAGGAGTTCACTTCTAGCTATATTCAGTGAGCCAATCTCACGGTATCATACACTGCTGACATTTATTAGGTTTGACGTTTTCAATTAAAAAAAGAAATTCCGCAAGGCCTGGTTTGCATCTAAACTGATACTTTAAAACTGTAATCCAGTTGGAGGAACACGTTCTTTAGTGTTTATGTGGTCCCCAAAAATCAGGAGGTGTGTGTGGCCATTGTACCCTCTTAGCATGCCTTGCAGGTTCATGCTTGTTCCTGATATGGTTAGTTATATATCCTGCTCCATTGAGGAGCATAGGGCCGAAGTGAAAGACTTCCACTGTTGATGGTTCTCACCCTTTGATTTGACCTGCAGCCAGGTCAGGTTCACGTCAGCAGCCTTGATATGATCATATAGGCTTTGCCACCAGGAGCCTCTCCTTGTGGATTTCAGAGAATTCGCCCAGAAAATAGGAGTCAAACAAAACAATGGAGCTAGCCTGTGGTTTCTCTACACTTTTCACCATCTGAGGTAGGGGAGGAGTGCATTCTACTGAGGAGCGTTGGTTGGGTGCTGGCAGTGCACGGTATGGGTGGGGGTTCTGGTGGTGCATATTACCGGGAGGAGGCGGAGACCATGGAGGTGGGATAGGGGTGCTGGTAGTGCACAGGAACTAGCTGGCTCCGGCTCTGTCTGGCGTCCTACCCAGCTCATTCATGTCACTGGTTGCCAGGAGCTGGGCAGGACCCCAGGTAGAATGACCCTCTCAGCTCCTGGCAAAGAGTGATGCCAGTAAGCCACTGGTTGCTAAGAGCTCTGAGCATGGACAGAGAAGTGCTTGTGCGCCATGGCACTAAACGGCCTATTTAAGTTTGCGCTTAAATAGCTTAAATGCTGAGAGATCTTCATCCCGTCTCTGGGTTCCATGTATCTGCTTCAGCTTGGAAATTGCCATTCCGTTATTGACCCGGCCTGAACCTTGACTCTGCTACTTGCCTCCTGCCTCAGTGACCTTGGCTCATCCCCTGACCTCTCCTGTTCTGTCCGCTAGTTGATGACCCGGCCTGTCCTTGACCTTGCTTCTGCCTGCGGGTTCTGCACAACGCTGTCCACAAGTTACTGACACAGCTTTTTCCTCACTCTGATATGGCCCTTTAGATCAGTGCTGTCCATCTCCTGTCAGCATCATTGTACAGAGGAGGTTTCACCTTCTAATCTCCGCATCCAGTCGCTTGTGTCATTGGTCCTTGTGTCATAAGCAGTTCTATTTTCTGCATGCACTTGTGCCCCTCTTCTGTCCCTACACCATGTCTCACCATCAGAGGTGCCTGGAAAAGAGCAGCAAGAGAGGCCTCCCTTGTCATCTCAGGCTCCTGCCAAGTTATCACGGTAAAAAAAAAATATTTTCCAATTTGTCAGCGCTTGGTGGAGGGTCTCTTAACATCACATGGAGGGAATATTCAAAGATGGACACCAATATGAATGCACAGAGGGAGCTGCTGTTCCAAAACAGGTTGGGAAGCAAGAAAAGAACAAAAGAACAGCGCCTTCTCCTTGTGAAATACTGTTTATTTATCCAAATAAAAACTGCATAAAATGTACTCACAAGCAGTGTCTGTTATAAAGCATTTCAGAACAACCTTTCGTATACAAAAATCAGATTGTGCTCCCGAGCATTAGTCTTTCTACCGCGTTTCAAGGGGTATCCCCTCTTCATCAGATCAAGTAGCAAGTGCAGTTTTTGGATAAATAAACAGTATTTCAGATAGGAAGTCAAGAAGTGAGCTTTGAGTGGACCTGGCTTATTCAATGTGCAGCTAAAGCCAAACTTTTTTTTAGCGTTAGATAGAGTGGAGAGGGATTAGATCACCTGTAAGGTTTTTATTGATGTCAGTGTCCCCATTTGGAAGATTCACCCTCTCTATTTGTCCTGGTGACTTTTATCACTGAAAGTGGAAGTGAAAGAAAATCCCAAATTTTGGGTTGCCATCAGAACAGGATTAGATAGGAAATCTTCCAATGGGAGACTAGTCCTGGTGATCCTGTTGGCCTCCAGCGATTTCCCTCTATTTGGAGGGATTTCCTCTCCATTCCTGTTGTGGCTATTGGATAGGAAGTGAAGGGACATTTCCCTTGTAGGAAGCAGATGGCAAAAAAGTTGATGGGCTATAACCCTCCCTTACTCTAAAAATAAAAATATAATAAATTGGCTTCAGTTTTAATTTGAAAAAACCTGTTCTTTGCCAAATTTGAGGGCTACCATTGTTGTTGCCCTCAGAAAATAAGAGCAGCTTGGCTCTATATAGCTGGGTCTCTTACCTGGAGCAAGCATGCAGTGAGGAAAGTCATAGTGAAGTCAGCACTCCTGATCTGCATACAGGTGAAACTCGAATAATTAGAATATCGTGCAAAAGTAATTGCAGTAAGTGCAACAGACTCAGGTATCATGGTTCCCAACTGTCCCTCTACTGGAACCAATCCCCTCTTTCCCTCTTTAAATGGTCTTGAAGTGACACTAAACTCTGGAGTTTAATCTTAAAAATGCATTCAGGTACCTTAACTATTTACTAAAATGTATCTTATTTGTGCTTCACTCGGCTGTAGATCCTCAAATCATCTCTGAATTGGTGCTGACACTGTCCTTCCTTCTGGAGGATGGCAGCTTGTATTCCCCATGGTCCCTGTGTATATTGTACAGTAGCCACCGCTCCAAGCTAGCTCACTCCTGTTTAGTTTACCAATTTGTATTGAGATATCCTGTTTTAGTGTGGCTCCTTTCCCTTGCTGGCTCCTATAGAGCCACCCTTGTGTGTGCTAGTAAACTGTGTTTCTATACAAACACACAGGCACAGCAAGCCAACCCAACCTTCTATTCACTGTAGCTCCCTCTTCCTTTTCTAACTTCTCCAAACCAGTAGATGGACAGCTGCTGGATAATGCTTTGTCCCTTATGATCGTGCACTGGACAGGAAGTCCAGGAAAGCCGAGCAGAGAGAGATAGATTCAGCTGACCGTTTTTTTTTGCTGAGCAATGTATATTTCTTTGATGTGGACTCATTATTGAATAAGAGTTTGAGAGCTTATTACTACCCTAACTTTAAAATATATAAATGCCTTATGAATAAATGTATTTCTAAAAAAAAAATATATATATATATATACATATATACAGTATATACACGCTATATATTTATTTATTTTGGTATATTACTATGTTTGTACAGTTTTTTGACGTAAGTGAATTTTTCCCCCCATCATTATGGAAAGCTTCTGTATGGATATGAATCAGCAGTGACTAGTCCATCAGGAGATTCCATGACATTCGTGAGCACATTTTGTTTGCCTTATTCCGGTTCCAGGAAGTGTTAATGGCTGTCAGCAATGTTTTCCAGGGGATTATAGACACAACAGTGGCAACGTTCTAAGTAAATCTTTCTAGAGATCAGTAAGACAAAGGAGTGACATCACGGATCCTGCCTCCTCCCTTAGCACAGGAACCATAAAAGCCTTTGCCAGTCATACATCACTTAACTGACAAACTGACAAAGAAAAAAAAATACTTTTTTAACAATTTGATACGTTCTGAAAACTCGAGTCTTAAAAGTTCCTGAGTCTTGGGATTTCTTGTGTCATTATTGAGTCCTAAAACAACTTAAAAGGGAACCAGCTTCCAATGGCCTGTTAGAGGGAGCATTAAAACATGGCTCTAATGGCGGGACCAACAGGTAGTAAAATAGAAATGTATGTATTTGATGCACAACAGGTTTTCTTTAAAGTGACAGTAAAGTCAAAATGTTTTTAAAGGAGAACTATGGGGTCAGTGTTTTTCCCCATAGTTCTCCTTAGGGTAACGGGAGGACACAAACTAGCGTCCTCCCATTATCCTAAGCTCAGTATACCGCGAGCTACAACTCGCGGTATACTGAGACGCCGCACCTGGAGCGGATCCCGACGTAGATGACGGGATCCGCACAGCTGCGTGAGTGACAGCTGGCTCTGCCTATCTAGAGGCAGAGCCAGCTGTACCCGCCCCCTCCCACCGTCCATTCCGCAAGTCAGCGCTGGCAGATCGGAGCGGGGAGAGGGGAATCCAGCCCCTCCCCCTGTCACGGCAGAGAGCCGTGACAGGATCGAGAGGTGAGGGAACCCGGTATGTGTTCCCTCACCTCCCGATCTACTGAGCCGACCTGTGACAGTCTCATTGTCACTGGTCGGCTTAGAATTTTGAGGGTGAGTGGAAATCACTCATCTCATAGTTCTCCTTTTAAGCTATTTCAAATCCTAATTAAATCACTTACAGTTAATGCATCTCCTTGATGTTTAAACTTTTGAGTTTGCAGCAGAATCAGCTGATCCCCTGAGCACTGGTCCTGATATCCTGTTTTAGTGTGGCTCTTCATACAGACAAGCACTTTCGGGGCTGCACCGGGTCCCCTTCATAAGGCTAAATAATGACGATGACAACATTGAGCCTGATGAAGGGGACCCTGTGCGGCCCCGAAAGCGCTTGTCTGTATGACTTGTGTCAATAAAATGGATTTGCACTAACGTGAATCTCTGGATTGGAGTGTTGGTGACATCTTTATCTGGCATTCCACAAACACACAGACACAGCAAAACAAGCCGCTCCCTTCCTCTCTGCTCCCCATTCATCCTTCTTCCCTTCTCCAAGCTAGTAGATGGACAGCTGCTGGAGACTGCTCTGTCCCTTGTGATCTTGCACTGGACAGGAAGTTCAGGGGAGCTGAGCTGAGAAAGTTGGAGCCAGCTGTTTGGAAACATGATAGCTATAGGTTCTTGGGGGAAAATGTAAAGAAAAATGTAAAGAAATCCTTTGCTAGGCAATGTACTGTATATTTGTTTGATCTGGATTAATTAGTGAAAAAAGTTTGAGCATTTAATACTTCTTTAAGTTTGCCAGTTCGGG